TATGCCAGAATTTCTGCTAAATTAAAAACTTGGAAAATATATAATTCAGTAATTTTCTTCTTTTTGATACTTAACTTTGAACTTTTATGTCTTTTATTTATTTTTGGATCTACAATAAAATTTAAATCACTGCCAATCAAGACTTCACCTTCTTTAAATTCCATCAGGGTTTTGAGCGTTTTACGAATAAACTGGAGTTGATCGTTATTAGGGGCGTATATAGACGCAATAGTCAGCGGTTTGCCATAAAGGTCCCCCTTCAGAAATAAAAATCTGCCTTTGGGATTTATCTTAGATGCCTTACGTTGAAACAGGATATTCTTAGAAACTAGAATTGCTGTTCCTCTGTCTTTTGATGAGCCAGGGTCCTGATACTGCTGCATAAACCATTTTGATTTGAAAATCTGAGGATGGAAAGGTTTTTTAATGGGTTTCTTGGATACATAAAATATTGATATGTTCTTTTGCCCAATAATTAAATGCCCTTCATACCTTAATAACATTGTTTAAGCCTCTGGCATTCCAAAATGCAAAGGTAAGGTGCCGACTCATTTAGTATTGAACAATACACTAATACCTTGTTATCAATACAAAACACTAGAACTTTTCTCTATGTGCACTTAAACCTAACTATTTAACCAACTAAAACACCCTTTAAAAAAGGGTAGGTTTCTAGAAAGTGGGATCTACTCTAACCCGCACTTCAAGGGTAGCCTATAAGCATACCCTGGCTAGAAACTTAAAAACTCTTGAGGGGAAGTATCACAAAAGGTGCAACTGATTTTAAATCCACCTCCCTCTTATCCCCATATCATTATAATATCTCTAAAACAGCTTTACCATCTGACACAGTCATTTTTGAAAAAACTAGTTGTTACTAAGAAGACCCAAAAAACTTTGTTTTAAACAATTATATGCTGATGGCCTCTAACAAGGGTTTTATGTCACAATTATAAGGTAAACCAATATACTTCATAAATATAATACACACAGGTTGCGGTCACACGGAGCATTAGGCACGCTAGAGAAACGGAAGATAGGCGGATTTTCTGGGCGCGATCTCACCACCACATCTGGGAAGCATAGAGCTCCCGTGGCTCACCCAAGGCTTCACTCCGAAGATGCGCTGTAAAAAACTAGTACCTCCGCGGTACTAGTTTCCGGAAACTGCAGGGCATGGGTGGACGTCTGATTGCATTTCCGGTGGTAGTTCCAGTGCCTGCCCATGTCCCCTCACAAAAAGGTTTTTTTCCCCCCAAGTCTCCACGGATGCACACAAGCACCCAACGGACCATGCGCACACTTTAGTTTAAAAAAACAAACCACAACCGTGTTTGCCCCACGACCCCGCTTCTTTGCAGCGCCGCAGGATTGTCCTGTGATCGGCACCTCCCCCCTAACCACGGGACCTCCACAGGATGTCTGCTCATGCAACCGCACGTTATTTTGCCCCGGTGCAAACAGCCACACTTCCCCCCCCGCATTTTCCGGCTCGTGTGACCGGAGCCATAGTATTTTAAATAGATGAATTAACTGAATTAAGTGAAAATGTTTTTGACCATGCGTTATAAGCCTATATAATCTTCTCTTGAGAGCCAGTTTGGTGTAGTGGTTAAGTGTGCGGACTCTAATCTGGGAGAACTGGGTTTGATTCCCCACTCCTCCACTTGCACCTGCTGATGTGACCTTGGGTCAGTCACAAGCTCTGGCACAGCTGTTCCTGAAAGAACAGTTTGTGTCAGAGTTCTCTCAGCCCCACCCGCCTCACAGGGTCTCTGAGCGGTTTACATTCGATTTTAATTTCCTACCTAGGGCCACATTAACTGGGGAAGTGTTTGCCCTACCAGCACCCAGGCAGCTCTTGTTGACTCTTTCAAGCGGGCTTTTCAGGTGTTCTTCTTGGCGGTCTACCTCCTGGCACCTTGGGGCGGTTCTTGCTTCCTTGGGACGGGTCTTGCTTCCAGCGACTTCCTCTGGTGGGCTTTTTAATCCTGGGGCACGGATGATTTATTGCCGATTTATGGGAAAAGAGGTCGGGAGCCCTAATCCAACGTGTCCGACATTAGCTGCGTGGCTCCGCCCTCAGTAGAACTTATTCAGGATGACTGTGTTCCTGCCCTGTAACAATTAAATAGCAGTGTCCCTTTAACAGGCTTGGCTTCCAATCATGATTGCACTGTATAGATCTTATTTTTCAGCAATTTCCTTGCCCCAGATTCAGCAACAAGAGTTGGAGACCAATTTGGTGGGTCTCGTAGGTTAGATAGAAGTAGATTTAGGAGCAGGATAGTATGCTAGTCTCCTCCCCCCCTCCTTCTTGGAAAAGTTAGTTTTTTAAAAAAAAGGTGTGAGTTTTTAAAAAGGTGTGAGTTTCTAGAGGATCTTTTGCCAAATAAGGCTTAGTGTTGACACGTGTAGCAGTTCAGCCTTTCAATACCTAATTAAATTTTGTTAGTGCATCCTTGAGAGCTTTCCCTCTAATTAGCAGCGTGGCTTTGGAATGTGAATCTAAAGGACTTTCAGCTGAATAGGGTTTGACGCAGACATTTACAGTAGTATAGTCTTTTTCTAAACAGAGAAGAGCGTTGATATGTAGTACGGTTTGGCCTTGCAGATATAAAATTATCAAGTGGTGTTATTTAGAGCCCAGTTAAGATTTGTAGGAGCATTACTTCAAGAACTAGTGCGTCCTGGAGAGCATTCCCTTTAATTAGCAGCATGGTTTTGAAATGTAAGTCTACAGGGATCTTTTGGCTTGATTTGGTCAGTTTAATTTGTAAGCACAGGGACTCAGGAGTTTTTAATATTACTTGAAGATTTTAATAAGTGTCAAGATCCTGTTCACCGCCGGACGCCAGGGGCCCGGTCGCCGTTGTGAGGACTCACTAAATCAGGAAACCAACACCTCAGACTGAGCGCGTTGGGTGTTTCAGCACACCCCAACATTCGCTCATAGCAGCATTACCGCCATTTCTCTCTCGATTTCGTTTTCCATCCTCCTCGGTGTTCTCGGTTTCCGTCTTTTATTGTCATTACAATCAACTGTTTTCACCTCCTCCCCACTCCCATGTGCTATCTATTATCTATGCTCCTCATCTGGTTTTCTAATACATGTGTTCCCTCTAATCCACCTGGTCTGTTCCTACCCCTTTAACTCCTGAAGCCTCGGGAAGTGGAGCAGCGGTCTCGATCTGATCTATAACCCCTGCGCGGACCTTCGGATGGAACGGTAGGGGCCCTCTGTCTCTCCCCCGAGCACGCCCTTTCTTGCCTCGTTGGGAATTCCGGCCAGCGCCGCCCCGCTCCCCAAATACTCCCCCCAAACCTCGTTCTGTGTTGTTGTAGGGTGTCGTAGAACTCGGCGCGGGTCGCGCCAGTCCCGCTGCAGCGGCCTCTACGGCCGCGGAAGAACCCGCGGCGGGACAATAAGGCTTTTAGCCAGTTATATTATTAAAGATGCAATAAACAAGTAGACTAGTGGTGTTGATTATTTGTCAATATAGATGAAAGGTATAATTAGTAAAAAGTTACTGTATAATTGGTAAGGTTTTCTTTAAGTACTAAGTGGGAGTATAGGATATAAGCAGTCCAATGTGAACACCTGTTACAGCAAATTGATTTGTTTGTATGTCCGGGACAAGATTCTCCAGTAAAATGGATTAGGGTGAGTTGTAAACTTTAAACAGTTTGTAAAATGCTTTTTGTAATAATGCTTTTTGTATGTACTTTGGAAAAAGCTTTTTGTATAAATGAATATTGCAAAAGTGGAGTGACTGTATGTATGTCTTTATAGATGCACTTTAGTATTTGAAATTATGACATGGAATATCATTGGAAGACACTATGAACAGTAGGTTTTCAAGAGAAACTACCACGGTACATTGCTTCATAATTTATTATTGGATAGAAATAGTTATATAAAAATAGTTTTAACATGTATAATTGCATTGCATTGCATAATCTTTTTATGTCATTTTGTAAGGTGCTTCAATGTGTTCGGATGAAGTTGTGAACGAAACGAAAGCCAACTCCGGAGAGTTTCGTCAACCCACTTCTTCTTTTTTTGTACCTATGAAAGAAAAAATATGTAACAATGTGGATGTGTTATTAGCTATTATAAAATAACATTGTTAATACATTAGAGAAATTGCATTTCATTTCATCCCAAGCGCTGAGTGTCAGCCTGTTCTATGGAAACATGCCTGGGCTCCCTGTCTGCTCTTCCCCTGTTGCCCGCAGCTGCAGGGCCCCTGGAAAGGGCAGGCAGGGCACCCAGGCATGTTTAAATACCCTTCTTTCCCTCCTTGAGATCGGGGAGAAAAAGAAAGGCATTTAATCATACCTTCTGTGTCTTTTTCTTCCCTCCCTCAGTTTCTCTGCAGTAGTGGAGAGGCTCAGGGATGGAAGGAGGCATGTTTTCATGCCTTCCCTTGGCTTCTCCAGCCGACCCCCCCCATAGCAGCCAGCTGAGGAAGCCAAGGGAGGGCATGGAAATGTGCCTGGGCTCTCCGCCTGCTGTTCTCCAGCTGCCTCAAAGCTGCAGGGCAGCTAGAGAAGGGCAGGCAGACAAGGCAGGCATGTTTAAATGCCTTTCTTTCCCTCCCCAAACTGGGAGGGAAGGCAGAGAGGCAGCTGGAGAGGGGAAGGCAGAGAAATGAGGCTTTCCCTGGTCAGTTTCACTTCCACAGCTGACTGGCGGGAGTGAAATTGACTTGGGAAGCCACAGTGAGAGGGAAGTTGGCATTCGGCTATTCAAAAGCTGGAAAAGCTGAATAAATTCAGGGAACTATTTGGTAGTCAAAAAGTTTCCTGAATTTGCATTCGACTTTAGGAATTTTTTTCGGTTTGGGGAAGCGGAATGCACATCCCTAGTGGACACAGCCCATTGTTACTGATAATGATGCAAGAAACCCACACAAACAACAGTTTAGTTTCAGAGAGGGAACATCTGTTCTATGCTTTTGCCATTTGCTCTCTTAATCTGAGTTTTATTTTGATAGGAAAGGGAACAGGATTGAATGAACCCCAGTATGTGGATAAGTTTGGATTCCATACGGTCACCTGCTGTGGCTATATAGTTCAGGTAGGGTCCTCCATTTACACTGTTTACACCATTTGATACTCAAATGACCCACTGTTAATAGAATGTGATTTATACTGTTTGCAGTTTATCGTGCTTATATCAGTTGTTTTATTTCTCATGCTTCATCTGTTGAGTCTTCTGCTTTTTCTAACTTAAAAATATTTATTCTGGTGCCCTGACTTGGATAGCCCAGACAAGCCTGATCTCGTCAGATTTTGGAAGCTAAGCAGGGTCGACCCTGGCAAGTATTTGGGTGAGAGATCTCTAAAGAATACCAGGGTCAGGAGGCAGAAGCAGGCTATCATATTATGAAGGCTTTTGGTCCAGTATGAAGGTGGATGCCACATTCACCACAACAGATGAACGGTGACCAGTTCTGCCAAGTATTAGTATTTGCTTGTAATAAACATATTAAACTATATTTTATTAAGTAACTGAATTATCCAGTGGAAAACATTTGTGTTAAATTAGAAACTGCCACACACCAACAAGAATGAGGGTATACTTATGTTTATTACACCAACCAGAACTTTCTGTGTTGTCTGTAACTGTCAATGAAAACTGCTTTATTCCTAGCAAATATGCTTGGCAGTGCCTAAATTATTTGAGGCATTTATTGCCATGGGATGTTATACCTGTAAGGAAAAGAGATCCCTGAAAAGGATTAAGCAAATGGATTGAGGACAGCCTATGTTTAGCCATCAGTTGAAATGGACAGAGTGTACATCCTTTCTGTTCTAAAGGCTTTATAGAACTGTTTACCTTGCAGTGAATCAAGATGTTTATTTTGTAGGTAAACGAATGGCAAAGTGACTGGCCCACTTTCTTTGTACGCCATCGTCTCCAAGCCCAAATGGACTTGATTGAGAGAGAGTATGGAGACAAAGAGGCAAGAGAACTGTGGTCTCAACTAAAGGTAGGAGGGAGAAGCCAGAAGGCCACATTGCAAGAAAAGAGAAGAAAGAGTTCAGTGTACTAGTCTCCTCACAGGCTAAGTTTTCAGTTTCACCTCTTTGTCACATCACCCGTTATAGGTTTTACTACGGGCATTGTGTCTTCCTTCCACATTGCCCATTTACTAAAGTAAAGCCCAATATGGGAACATAAGCCAAGGTTGAGCCGAGTTTCATGCTTTGCCTGACTCTCTTTCTTTTTATTGTCAATTTGATTTTTTTGAGAAAATAAAAGAAAAAAAGAAAAAGAAAGAACATACATAATACAGAAGAAGGCTTCCAGTTTTCTCTACAACAAATAAGTTTGATTACAAAGTTCCTACTTGCTCTATATATGGAATAAAGAACTCTCTTTTTTGTATCTTAATATCTTAATCACAAATCATCAAGTCATTATTCTCTTTTCCCCGCAAAAAGTCTATAAGGGGTTTCCAATCTGTAATAAACAAACTAATTGTCTTTCCCCTGGCCAATGCAGTAAATTTAGCCATTGTTGCAAGGTCCAACATCTTCTCCAACCATTCTTCTGTTGTAGGTATTGTTAGACACTTCAGTTTCTGTGCGTATAATAGTCTTGCTGCTGTAGTCATATATAGAAATAAAGTTCCATGGCTTCTTTCCAACCGATTGTCCATTAGTCCTAACACAAAGGACTCTGGTTTCAGTTGTATATTAGTCTTTAAAATCTGATGTATGAATGTTTTTGTGTCCAAATTTTTTTGGCTTTCTTATGAGTCCACCATATATGATAAATGTCCCTTCATGGTGATTACATTTCCAACATAAACTAGAAGTACCTTTGTACACTCTAGATGATTTCTCTGGAGACATATCCAAAGATACATATAAATGTTCTCCCTAAGATTAGAATTTAAGGTAAATTTCAAACTCTTTGTCCACATACGTTCCCATTATTCAATATGCATGTCATGTCCAAAGTTTTTTGCCCATTTTACCATACATTGTTTAACTTGTTCTTCCTCAGTTTCAAATTTCAATGTGTTTATACATTTTAGCAATAACATAGTCATCCTTTGTGCATAATTCTGTTTCAAATCAGACTTTAATTGCTTAAAATTACGATACCTTTTATCAGCTTTGAACCTTCCCAAGATTTGTAAATACGTAAACCAGTGGCAAGTATGGCCGATTATCAAATCTTATCTAGATTTTAATTTGTATTCACCTTGTCACAATATGTTAACCATTTATGCAAACTTGTCATTTCTTTTCTAAAATGTGCTTCGTGTGGTGATAACCACAATGGGATTTTTGTGCAGAACCTAGGTTTATATGTATTCCAAACTCTCAAAACGGCACACCTAACGTAATGATTATTGAATTCTGCATTCGCTTTAACTGTGTCATACATCAGATATCCGTGCCATCCAAATCTCAGATCATGTCCTAACTCTTATAATTTTTTAAAAAACAAAATCCAATCTTTCATCCATACCAAGCAGGAAGCAGAAAAATACAATTTCAAACCTGGCAAATTGAAGCCGCCTCTTTCTTTTGCATCTTGTAATATCTTATATTTAACTCTTGGTTTTTTCCTTTGCCATACACATCTAGATATCACTTTCTGCCATTGCTTAAATGGTACATCTGTTGTCAAAATGGGAATTGTCTGGAACAAGAATAACATTTGAGGTAAAACATTCACCTTAATCACAGATATTCTACCGAAAAGTGACAGTTGTACGTTACCCCATCTCGACATACCTTTTTAAATTTCATTCTAGGTTTTGACATAATTATTTTAAAACAACACACAATTCATATTTGTCAAGGTAATACTTAAATATTTTACTTTCTTTTCTATTGTAAAACCTGTTTTATCAAATTTTGTTTGATTTAATTGTTTTTGTTTGTTTGTTTTTTAATTATTACTATGTTGTTGTGATGCTGTAAGGCCTACGTTTTGATGGTAATTTGCCCTGAGCCCGTTTGTGGGGAGGGCGAATATAAGTGTGAAAATTAAATTAAATTCAATAGTCATGGGGTTATGATCTGAAAATGCTTTTAGTAAAATCTCTACTCTAAGAGTCTTAGTAGCTATATCTTTTGTTGTCAAAATCGTATCAATCCTTGACTTCCGGTTTATGGCGGCGCGCTAGCAGACTCACCTCCTGGACCTCCCGGGGGTGAAGCTGCGCTCCAGCTGAAGAAGGGGGTGCGCAGGCTCGCAACCCCCCCCCAGGGTCCCGGCGAAGGGACTCTGGCCACGGAACTTATAAGAGGTTGCCTCTTCGAGGGCGAAAGGCCTGAGAATTGAGGCGCCTCTTCGTTCCAACGGTTCTCCATGCTGCGAGACTGAATGGGCTTAGTGACGCTGACCGGGCCGAGCGCAGGAGATCATGCGGCAGAAACGAAATGAAAGCGAGGTCGAATGACTGATTATGAACGTGAGTCAATCTCTTAGCGTTTGAAGAGAAAAAGATAGCTCCCCACCCCACCCCACTGAACGGGAGAAAAAATGAGCGGGGGAGGGATGCCTCCCATACGCATGAACTTTTGAGCGATTGAGGGGGGGGGAGCGGAAGAAAACACGAGGGAAACTGCCTAGAAGCACTTACCAAATTGAGTCCAAGCGGTCAAGCGCACATTCAGAGACTTTTGAAAAGTTTGCAAAAGTAAACAAACGATAAAGATGGTGGGGAAGAGGGACAAAGAAAGACTTTTTAAAGCGAAAGGGCCGGAGAGCCCAAAACCAGAAACTACCATTAAGATCAAAGATCAAAGATAAAAAAGAAAAGATTTCTAAAGGTTCAGCTGGGAAGGTCAGAGGACGGGAAAAAAGAAGAGGACAGCAAGTCCAGTGGCCAGCTGGAAACTGGTTCTTCGGGAGAGGACTCTCTGTCTGAGCAAGGGGTGGCAGCCCCAAGTCCCTATAAGTTGCAGAAGAGAAGGGAAAAGAGGAAGTAAAGGCTGAAGGACTCTGAATTGTGCCTTTGAGAATTTTGGTTTTGGGATGATTGGGGGTACTGTTACTAGACAGTTACATTTAAACTTTAAGGGGAAAGGGCTATAAATGTTTGACTCAGTTTATAAAGGGACTAACGATGAGAAGACTCGATGTATTTAAGCTAGTTGGAGGGGCTCCTCTCTTGGGTTTTTAGTTAGTAGTGGGTTCTTTACTTTCTCCTATATATGTAGTTTTCCCCTTCCCTTTTTTCTGTTGTAGTTTTTTGTAGTGGAAAAAAATCAATAAAAAATCCCCTCTGGGGGCTTTAAAAAATCATATCAATCCTTGAAAAGGATCTGTGTCTTTCTGAGAAAACTGTATATTCTCTGGAATTACCATTGTTTTTTGTCTCCATAAATCAACCAACCCCAAATTGTCCATCAAATCAAAACATATTTTTGGTTGTTTACCCTGATAAATTTTTACATCTTTCTCAGCAGTTATTTTCATTTGTGGAGAGATCACACCATTCCAATCTCCCACCAAACACCAACTTTCATATTGTAGGTTTGTCAAGGTCTCCGTCAAGTTTTTAAAGAACACTGTTTTATTTTTATTTGGGGCATATAATCTCACCACCATAGACTTCATTCCCTGGAAGTTTATTTCAAAACCCACAAACCTACCATGCATGTCACTCAATAGCAATGCTGGTTTTAGATGAGATTTGATATACAACACAACTCCATTTTTCTTTTTAGTATCCGCTGATATGAATTCTTCTATGTTTTATGTCAGATAAGATGTCACATCTTATATTTGCTGTATTTTTGCCACTTTGATAATGTTATTTTATGTATAGGTATTTATTGGCTTGTTTTAATTTATTTTAAGGTGACATTGTATATTAACCTGTTGTGAGCCGCTTTGAGCCCTACTTGTAGGGTAGGGTGGCCTAGTAAATCCAATCTAATAAATAAATACATAAATAAAAATGATTTTATATCTTTTTTCTTATGTCTCTTGTATGCAAATAATTTTAATTTTTTCAAATAATGAAATATTTCCCCTCTTTTTTATAATATTTTATTTTACTATTTAAAGGGGATACAAAATAAAAAGGAATAAAGGGAAAGGTGAGAAGCATATTTTCCCCCCTTCTTTTGAGGAGCATTTAATCCATTTATATTCCATGATAAACATTTGTAATCCCTATTGTAATCAGAAAACTTTAAAAAATCAAATTTAAAAATTTAACTGGTACCCGTAGCTAGCACCCAACAGGGAATCCTCCTTGTCTACATCTTGATTCTATTCTTCTATTGGAGTATTCATCTGCATCGCCATAAAATCCGATTTGAATCTTTATAAAAAGTCTCTCACTTCTTTAGCTGAATTCAGTTTGACTCTTTGTTGCTTATAGGTAAAAAATCACGCCCTCCCTAGTATCCCATCAAAAGACAATCTTTTTCTAATTTAGTTTTTCAGTCAAAAGGACATAGTCCTTTCGCTTATGTAAAATTCTAAGTGTAATTTCTTTCCAAACAATTACATTTGTGTCATCAGTGTGTAACTTATTGATGAAATGTTGTTGAAGTACTTGGTCTCTTGTCATCTTTCTCACAAACTGAATTAATACGTCCCTTGGGACATTTCTTGTTTTGGCAAATTTAGAATTAACCCTGTAGACTTTATCAATTTCTATTTCCATATCCTCTTGGTCCCTCTGTAAAAAAGTTGCTAAAAGTGAAACAATTCTCTCTGGTGTCTTCGTCTGTTACATCTGGAATATCTCTCAGCCTCAGACAATATTCCTTCTCTCTCAATTCCATCAGGGCAAAGCTGTATAGATGTTTCTCCAGCTCTTTGTCCATCACTTCTGTTTTGTTTTCTACAATAAGTCTTATCATTACTTTGCTTAACTTCTTCAGACATATGTCCTACAGATCCTCCTAGCTTTTTAACATCCTCTTTTATTTTTTCTTTTAATTTCCAAGTCTCCCCTCCATCTTTTTTTACAGTCTTTATCTTGTTTTCAAGATTTTCTGTTTTATT